ACTACTGTTTTTCAACAGCAATGATCAATAAATGCAAGTCAATCTTTATATCATGTTGGTCCTTAAGCTATGGTTAGGAAAAAAGTCTTTTTAAAAATTAAAGTTATATTCAATTTAGTATATAAGATGTAAAATTATAAATATTTGTTTCTCTTAAAATTTTCTGCTTAACAACATTGCAATCCCTTTAGTATCCTTCAACTTTCATCTAATGAAAACTGTATAAAATGATAGCCACTTGTTGGTAATATCTGAATAATGCTATTTTTGTACTTAGTTTATACCTTACAGATCAAATATGGTAATTTTATAATTGTCACAAAATAGCTTATTTTAATTAAAACTAATTGGTTACTTTTTGGGAAATGCTATTCTATTCCTGTAAGAACAAATATCTTCATCAATAGTACATTATATCCTATTTTCTCACTGTTCCTTCCTAAGCAGTTTCCCAGAAGAATTGAGGTACAAATGAATAAAATATGTGTTTATCAGAGTGAGTAAAGGGAAAATAACAATTTTCACATCTTCCTCTTTCCTTGGCAGCTGTCAGACATAGGGAGGGGTTGAGATGGCTAGAAAAAAGAATGACCCTTCAAATAATTTAGCTGAATATGTCTTGATTTTCCTGAGGCGTTTTTTTTTTTTTTAATACTACAAGTGAAAATTAAGACAGAAAATCTAAATGTATATACACTTACTTTTAATTACATGTATCATTAAAATTTAGCCATTATAGATGAGAAACTGAAAAAGTTACAACTTTCGTAGTATACTATATACCATTAATACTATTCTGATTGAAATAAGAACAAATATAAAATATGTAAAGGTTCATGTGCAAATCTGTTTGGAATTACAAATATACAACTCAAACAGCTTTAGGAAACAAAATTCTAGTAGCTACAATTCTGCAGGCTTAGAAAAATGGTGTAACAAAATAATTGGGTGGGAAAGGAAATGATAAAATTAAGGCTACAGTAATGCATATTCAGTAAATGAGAAAAGATAAACAGTCAATGTGATGTCTGCTAGTAGTTTACTACTGAGTGAAAATTAGTGTTTTAGAATGAAAAGCGAAAAACTATATTTACATTTAAAGACATGCCATTATACTTGAAAGTGAGGGAAGTCTGTTTACTACACTGAGATACTTGCCACTGTCTACTTGGTCCAATCAAAGATAATAAGTGTCCTAGTAAAGTCATCAGTTATAGTCTGTTTTGACACATCCCCATAAAACTATCTTCTTCAGCCTCTTTCAAAAAAGTATTTAAAAGTATAAAATATTAAAAGAAAACATGTATTTAAATAGGAAAAGGAATGCCTGGTGGATTCTTACTAATGCTCCTTACATATATGAGGGTTTCAATGTAGAAAAAAATGACAATATTTTTATTAGTAATTATAGAAGTTTCTAGGGAAATATTTTAAAGAAGTTCAGAGAAAGACTTTGAAAATAGCTATGGAAATATGTTGTTGAGAAACTTAATAATCCATAGTTCCTTGACTCTTTAATTTGTATCACTTTAGGCAGAATTTTTTTCATAGTTAGAGAAATAAACTAAATTATCTGCCAAGTTACTCCTAGTTTGATGATGTCCATGCACATGGAAGTTTAATTTACTGTTGGATAAAGTTGCTCAGTTTTCTCCTTATAAATCAGAGTTAAGCATTTACTTTATATGTAAACGCAAACATTATATGCAGAAGTATCAGCACAAATCCCCTAAATGTTATTATGAAGCTATAGCAATGGAACTTATGGGACACATTATTAAATGTTAAAAAAGGAATATAAGACAGTGTTATACATTAACTCTCATGAAACATTTAAAGTTGGGTTTTAAATGACTAGAGCACAAGGCTACAATAAAGAAAATGACGAGTATGCACTTTTATGAGTGTTCTGGTGGACGGCCCAGTGGGCTCACAAACTACAGTTACTAGGGCTAGGTGTTTTCCATGGCTGTCAGGAGAGCCATTTATGCTATGACTTAAAAATTTTATTAATACCTGGAGATTTTTGCATATGATTTGTGATGAGTAAATGTGAGATGAGTTAATTATAACCACTTTATTGTCAGATGCAAGAATATTATCTATAAACTGCAAAGCAAGTACATATAGAAATTAACAACCAGAGGCCTTTAAAAAAGCTGTCTACCCAGAATTCCATTAGGAAAAATTAATACAAAATTTGAAAAAAAAATGAATAAGTTAACTATTTTGACCTATAACATTACTAAACACTTTTATAGTATAAAACTTTTTAGTGATTATTAAAAATATTTCCAAACTACAATATAAATCCTATTATAAACCTAAATGTGTCTTTTACAGAGTTCTATCCTCAGTTCTACAAATCTTTTTCTTTCCTATTCTTCCTTGACTGTTTTCTGGTATTCTCACAGCAATATGCTATGTGCAGATGTTGTACTTTTAAGTTACATCTCCATGGCATTTCTAATACATTTATGCCAACTTATATCCCCCCTGCCACTGTACTAGCTTGGATTTTTCACCATCTCTAATGCACATATGAATACACAAGCACACCTTCCACTAAAGGTTCTTATATCACTGCATTTCATCTGAATTAGAGTTTTCTAACAATTTCTGATAGAGTATATGAGTTCTATATATTCAAAGTCTTCCAAGAAGAAATATTCCATTAATTTTAATATATTTTGTATAAAATTTCATTATATTCTCTACCTATTGTCTGCATTTCATTGTTATTTGTGCTTAAGATTGCAAGATACTTAAGGTTACCTTTTATTATATCATTGCATTAACTAAAGAGGTAATTATTACATGTTTGCTGAATTGACCTGAAATAGCAGACAGAAAAGTTATTTCAATTTGTCAGCTGATTAGAAGATAATTTAATAAAACAGACCTTTAACAATTTTGGTAGATTGTATCACTTAACAATATTGAAATTGAGAATTAAATTATTTGCATAGCAGTTTTTTACACATCAAGTCTATAAGCTATGCTAAGAACTGTGTCTGTGTGAGTGTGTGTATATATATATATATATATATATATATATATATATGCACGCAGGTGTTCAAGACCAGGTGTTCAAAACTCCTCAGAAAAATCAGGCATGTAATTAATCAGTGGCTATGCAATATTGCAAATACAATGAGACTTCTAGGTCTAAGATCATCTGGGAGCATATATGAGTTATTCTCTCTGTGAGGGGTAGGAAGGAACCAAGGGAAATAACAGTTGTTTCACTTATGAACTCCTGACATTTTAAATTCTTTATAAGATAAGAACCCTGCTGAAATACCCAGTAATTTTAAAGACTTCTATAAATATTACATCAGTCATCTTTAGAACATGAAATGCGAAAGCTAGTGAAAGTGGCTGCCGGGGAAAATGGGTAAATTTAGAACATGAAATGCAAAAGCTACTGAAAGGGGCTGCTGGGGAAAGGGGGTAAATAAAATAGTGAGAACTCAAAGTATATTGGAAAGAATTACTTTCCACCATACTGAAAAAAAAAAATTTGCTCAGAATCAATTAAAGACATTGTTATGGTCCCTATTGTAAACAATAAAAGATTTCCTATGAAAACTTCAATGGCATTCCTCAGAGAAATAGAACAAAGCATCCTAATAAACAAATTAATTCTGGAAAAAACAAAACAAAATAGAGGTTATGGTACTCCCTGACCTCAAACTATAATACAAAGTGATAGTTTTCTGAACATTATGTTATTAGAATAAAAACAGACACATCAATAGCATAGAATTGAGAATAGAAGTAGTTTACTGGACATCCATAGACCGAATAGTGAAAGTGCCACAAAATGGCCCATTGTCTTAACCTTAAGATACATCATACTTATAAGCCTCTGCATAGCAAAAGAAACCAACAAAATGAAAAGGTAACTCACTCATAGGAGAAAGTATTTGAATATCATGTAGCTGATAAGGGATTAATAGCCAAATATATATTTTGTATTTTTATACTGAAGTACCATTGTTTTATATCCTTGTTAGTATTTGACAGTATGGGATTTGAAAGTATAGTTTCTGTATCACTTCTACTACCAAATCACCCATAGTCCTCGACCATAGTAAATTCTGTGAAATATTTTTTAAACTCATGTAACTCAAAGAAAAAAAAATCCACCAATTAAAACATGTGTAGAGATTATCCATAGACATTTTTCCAAAGGAGGCATAAGATGGCCAAAAGATATATGAAGAGATGTTCAACATTACATACCACAGAAATGCAAATCTAAGCCATAATGAGATATCATCTCACATGATAGATTAGCTACTATTGTGTTAACTTTATCGTACGTCTTTAAGTAAACCTATTCTTCTTAATATTAAGAGCTAAATTTTGCTCAAAACTGTCATCATGATCTATGACATTTAGTCAAATATACAAACTTTTTGATGTTTCTGACAAATTTCTCCAAATATAATTCTAAATGAAATATTTTCCATATAATACTAATTGTGAGGTTTTCCAAAGGGTCCTGAAACATCTCAGATCTCTTCTCAAGAGATACTAAACAAACTAGATTTATTTATTTATACAAGCACTGGGTACAGTCAGAAGTGCGGGAGGGTGAGAGAATTCACCAGAGCCAGAGCGGGGAGCAGAGCAGGCAGGACCAAAGTACACTGCTGAGGGGAGCAGCGGGCAGCAGGAGAGGTCTGCGCGCCATGTGGGATCTTCCTCCGGTGGCCAGGAGCAGCCGGGGATTGAACCGGCGCTGTGGAGGCTGCAGGCAGTTTCACAACCTAGCGCTCAACCGCTGCACCACTGGGGAGGCCCTAAACTAATTAGATTTAAACTGCAAAGCAATAAAATGTTTTTTTGTGTGAAACAGAATCAACTGTTATCTTAATAGATAACTTACTGGAAAACATCAGAATTAGCCAATAACTCCTACAAAATTCCATAATTTTTTAAAGCAAAACATTGCATTCATCTATTTATGGTAATGTTTCTGTTTTTAACAGTTGCAGATCTCCCAGCAGACTGAGGTTCCAACCTTGGCCTCACAGTGCTTTACATTGGGCACCCTCAGGAATGCCCCAGGTGAGGACCTCTGCTTCCAGGCCACCTCAGGAGCAGAGTAGGCCCAATAATTATCAGGTGATTTCACTTAAATGTGTAATATAGAGAAACTGGATCAAGACAAACCTTAGAAGCTGGCCATTGTGTGAGGCATACAGCAGGGGAGGAGAGGGGAAGAGGTTAAAACGGGAAGGAAGAGCACAAGGGACTATGGTCATGGGTGAGAACTACAGGAACCAATCAAATATTGTCCAATATTTAACAACAATATAAGAATATAAATTTATAATTAATAAAAAATGTTGCAGATCTTAACAATTTTTGGACACCATTTCTGTGAACCTAAATTTTTATGGGAACAGACTCCTCTGACTCAGGATGATCACCGGTACTGCTTCAGTTGATCAAAAGCATCTCTTATCCGTGTCTCATTAGGTTTGAATTTTCAAGAGACTAAATGAAACCTATATTTTTTATCTTAAGCTATTAGCAATTAGGGAAAGTTATAAATAATTTAAATAAAAAGCTTTTTGAACAAAAATGAAATATCTACTTCCTTACCTTACCTGATTTCTCCAGAATTTAAAAACTTTATTTTTCATTTTTATAGTAATATAGTTATTTGTATAGGTTCAGAAAGAATCCATATTGCTTATAACAGAACAAACCTGGAAATATTGGTTAAACTGCTAAAATTTTGACCACAATGTCATATATTAGAATGTACATAGAATATGATATGACCAGACAGCTTTAAGTAGCTAAGGTTGACTTTATACAGTCAATGAAGTCCCTTGGAAAAACTGGTTTGATACTTTGTGAATAGGGTTCAACAGTCTTACCAGGTAAGCAAGAAAGTCACTTTATTATAGGAAGTTCAAGATGGTTGGGAAACCTTGAGAGGAAACCCAAATACATATGTATTGTAGGTTAATTTTGATGAGATTTTGGTATGGCTTTTGAGTCTCAAGAGGATTTTACAATCTCAATCTGAGATTCCTTACAAAAAGTTCCAGCAATGAAGTTTTAAAAGAACCTGTATGGTTAATCATAATTCCTGCTGTGTATACATGAATTTGCCTGTTCATTGAAACTAGACTTATTTTGAAAAAATAATTTTACTGTTACTCTGATAGAAATGGGGCTGATGGTAGAGAGGCAAATTTCAGTAATACACCTTCATGGATATTAGTGCTGTTAATGTTCTCTGCACTTTTGTTTTCTATATATAAACTGGACTAGATTTTAAATTATTCTAGTTTCTCCCAATATATGGCTTCACCTTTCCAAACTAATATTTTCAGTTTTTCTCCAAACCCTTTGAATTGGAATCACTAAGACTGAAAACTTTTTCCCTGAACTGAATGTAAACACCTTCACTTCATAAAAATTGCCACAATAGCTCATGTTAGGAAGTCTTCACATGAGTTTCTATGTGAGTCACTCAGAAAATTTACTTGTAAATCCAATGCCACAGAGACATTCAAACTACAAACCAGGAAAATCTAACAAATTGCTACTCCCTGCCCACACTCTATCTGAAAATGCTTCAAGTCCGGCATCTAGAAATCCTTGCCTGGCTGCCCTCAAGTCTCAAACTAGATTTATAGTCCGCTTTAATATCCACCTTTGTTTTTCTTTTGTTTCCACAAAAAATAGCTCTTATAAAATATATGATGGCTTACACCATATAGACCTGACTCTGGAAACCCAGCACTGAGAATGCAGCTGAAATTGAATCCAACTCTAACTGGACTGACCTAGTCTCTGGACCAGTGACTACATCACTGAGGTATGAAACAGTTTGCCAAGCCAGCTTTTAATATGTCAAATTTCCAAGGAGGTTTCAAAAGAGGGAAATATTGTGGGACTCTGGGTAGGTCACCCCAATATATGCCAAGTTATTATTCTGAATTTAAGTTGTTTGAGAAATAGCTGGTGCAAGAACACTAGGAACCTGTTTCTCTAAATCTCTCACAATAGATGGGTGGGCGGAGCAACATGGCGGCGAGGAGACGCTGCGAGTAAGATCTCCCATTAAAAAAAGTTAATAGGGAGGAAAAGCGGCAGGTCCCAGTGAGAACTGGGACACGGAAGATAAACGGACGACTCCAGCAAACTGCCCGAAGAAGAAAGTTGCCATAAAAGAGGACGAGAAGGGAGGGAAGCACAGAACCCTGCTCCCCTCCCCCGCCCACAAAGTCGGCACTCTCCGACCGGCAGAGAGGAGGGAAACAACAAACCAAAACGGCCAACAAGAAAAACGGACACAGCAAGCGGGACTGTGAGTGGAAAGGAACTATTGCAGCCACCACACCCCGTGAATGGGAGCTGAGGCGAACCCTGCAGGATCCGCCGCGGAGGTGAGCTCCAGGCGCCATTAAAGAGAGCCCCGCCCCCCAGGAGGAGACCAGCACCAGCACACAGCCCCGGCCGCCCGGTAAGCTTGCGGAAAGTGGCGCGGATCCAGACTGGATCGCAGCTGCCCAGGTCCCCGCGCCTGCGACCTAGGCTTGCGGGGAGACAGCGGAGGCCCTCCCTGAGTGAGCAGGAACAAGGCGCCCAGGCAGGGGAGCGGGATTCAAAAGGCGCCATTCCCGCGCCACTGATCTGGGCTACAGCCCGCGTCCTGGAACTGAGGGCTTTGGAACTGAGACCCGGGGCACGAAATTAGGGGCGTGAGTTCCCCACGACGGTGGGGCACAAGGCAGACACAGCACCCCAAAGCCGTTGAGGTGTACCCTACCATCCCCGCTCTGCTCCCTGTCCCACGGGGTGGAAAATCAGCTCCCCAAGGGCTCTAGGAGAGATCTCTGGCGCCACCTAGCGACTTGACCCCAGCAGAGGCTCCTGAAGGAGCTAGTGGCCAGCTGGGGAGTTAGCCCACACCTGGCTCCTTCCGAACAAGTAGTCTGAGCCCACAGGGAGAGCGAGCACCCACAGCCGGGGCAGACCAGGAGCGCAGAAGAGTGTGCCTGAGACCAGACGCGCAGGGAGTGTGTCCCACATCACCATTTTAGAACAGGGACATTTCTTCAGTAAAGACTACCTGCAGAAGGCTTCCTCAGGAGCCAGAGGTGAGCGGGGGAAGTTCGCCCACGCCAGACCCCCTCTGGCCTGCAGTCCAAGCCCAGAGGGGAGCAGGAACCCACCGCCGGGGCAGACCAGGCGCACAGGGGAGTGTGTCCCCACATCGGCATTTTAGAACAGGGACTTTTCTCCATTAAAGGCTGCTTGAAACTGACAGATGACTCCTGGAAGAACCAGAGGGGAACAGAGAAGCCCACCCAAGATGCCGGCCAGTCCCAACAACACAGTGTCCCAACGCATACGGCAAATTAGAAAACAGACAGTAGGGAGGAGAAGAACCACACGCAACCTAGCAACTCTCCAGAGAAAAAGCACACCACAAAAAGAAAGCCAGCCCCCAGATTGCAAAGACAATAACTTGGAAGAATTTCTGAGCCTTCCAGAAAGAGAATTTAAAATTGCCGTGATTAAAAAACTGACAGAAGTCATAAAGGAAAACAATGATAAGGGAAAAATAATGAACGATCAGAAGAATGCAATTGAGTCCCTAGAGAGGGAAAACAATGGTCAGAAGAAAGAAATTGAGTCCCTAAAGAGGGAAGTAAAAGAAATGCAGGAGATCAAAGAATTAATGGAAGAACTAAAGAATTCTGGGAAAAGCAATGAAAGCAGAATAGATGAAATGGAAGAACGAATAAGTAATCTTGAAGACACAGAAATAAAAAGAACCAAAACAGAAAAGGAAAGAGAAGTACGAAGGAAAAAGAACGAAGAAAGTCTTCGGGACTATCTGACTCCATGAGGAAAGGAAATATAAGAGTTATAGGAATACCAGAAGGAGAGGAGAGAGATGTAGGAACAGAGAAAATATTCAAAGAGATAATTGAAGAGAACTTCCCAAATGTGAAGAAGGGATGAAAATTGATATACAAGAAGCAAGAAGAACACCAAACTTCCACGATGAAAGGAAAAATACAGCAAGACACATAATAGTAAAGCTCCCAAGAATCCAGGACAAGGAAAAAATAATGAAGCTGGCAAGAGGGAAGAAACAGATAACATTCAAAGGAAAACCAATCAGGCTGACATCAGACTTCTCCGAAGAAACACTACGGGCAAGGAGAGAGTGGAGGGACATAGTCAACAGACTCCAAGAAAACAGATGCCAACCAAGAATACTCTATCCCGCAAAGCTCTCCTTCCTCTTTGAAGAAAGAATATGGACCTTCCCAGACAAACAGAAACTCCGGAATTTCATTGCAACTAAACCCCCACTCCAAAAAATACTACAAGGAGTCCTAAAGCCAGAACCTCAGAGGGACGAATAACAATGAAAGAAGGCCAAAAAAAAAAAAAAAAAGTTATTAAAAGAATAAATAAATAAAATCAAAGGAAAGACAAACACAATGGCAAATACAGATGTTAACATATCAATATTAACTCTAAATGTAAATGGACTAAACTCTTCAATAAAAAGACACAGAGTGGCAGCCTGGATTAAGAAACAAAACCCAACCTTTTGCTGTCTCCAGGAAATACATTTAGCTACAAAAGATAAAAATAGGCTCAAAGTTAAAGGATGGAAAACAATCCTACAAGCAAATGGACCAAAAAAGAAAGCAGGAACAGCTATACTTATATCAGATAAAACAGATTTCAAACTCAAAAAGATAAAAAGAGACCCCAATGGTCACTACATTATGATCAAGGGGACAATACTTCAAGAAGAAATAACACTCATTAACATATACTCACCAAACGAAGGAGCACCAAAATATATCAGACAACTGTTGTCCTCTCTGAAAACAGACATCAGAGAAAACACATACGTAGTGGGAGACTTCAACACACCACTATCAACAATGGATAGATCAACAAGACAAAAAATAAGTAAAGAAACCAAAGCTCTAAATAAGGACCTAGAGCAATTAGGCTTAACAGACATCTATAGAACACTAAACCCCAAAAAAACGGAGTACACATTTTTCTCAAGCGCACACGGATCATTCTCCAGGATCGATCACATACTGGGGCACAAGACAAACATCAACAGATACACCAAGATTGAAATCATATCAACCATCTTTTCTGACCATGAAGGCATCAAACTAGAAATAAACCATAAAAAGAAGGCAAGGAACTTTCCTACCTCATGGAGATTAAAAACCACACTACTGGAAGACCATTGGACTAATGAGGAGATCAAAGAAGAAATTAAAAAATTTTTTGAATTGAACGACAAGGAGGACACTAATATCCTAAATGTATGGGATGCAGCAAAAGCAGTAATAAGAGGAAAATATATAGCAATAGAAGCTCACATCAAGAAACAAGAAAGAACGCAAAGAAACAACCTCATCTCGAAGCTCAAAGATCTAGAAAAAGAACAACAAAAAAACCCCAAAACCAGTAGAAGAAAAGAAATAATAAAAACCAAAGCAGAAATAAATGAAATTGAAACTAAAAAAACAATCCAAAAGATCAATGAAACCAAGAGCTGGTTCTTTGAAAAAATCAATAAAATAGACAAACCCCTAGCCAGGCTCACAAAGGAAAAAAGGGAGAAAGCACAAATAAACAGGATCATCAATGAAAGAGGAGAAATCACAACGGACACAGCAGAAATCAAAAGAATAATCAGTAACTACTATGAACAGTTATATGGAAACAAGTTTAACAATCTAGAGGAGATGGACAAATTCCTACAACTCTACAATCACCCAAAGCTAGATAAAGAAGAAAAGAACACCTAAACAGCCCAATTACAAGCAGCGAAATTGAAATGGTAATCAAAAACCTCCCCAAAAACAAAAGCCCAGGACCTGATGGATTTACAAATGAATTCTACCAAACATTCAGAGACGAATTAGTGCCTATCTTTCACAAACTCTTCCAAAAAATTGAGAAGGGACAATACCAAACACGTTTTATGAAGCCAACATTACACTAATACCAAAACCGAACAAGGACAACACAAAAAAGGAAAACTACAGGCCAATCTCCCTAATGAACACTGATGCAAAAATCCTCAATAAAATTTTAGCTATCAGAATCCAACAATGTATCCATAAGATAATTCACCACGACCAAGTTGGATTCATTCCAGGGGCACAAGGATGGTTTAACATCCGAAAATCAATCAACGTTATCCAACACATCAACAAAAAGAAATATAAAAACCATATGATAATATCAATAGATGCTGAGAAAGCTTTCGACAAAGTGCAACACCCATTCATGATAAAAGCCCTTGAAATTCTGGGGATACAAGGAACATACCACAACATCATAAAGGCCATCTATGACAAGCCAACAGCCAGTATCATTCTCAATGGTGAAAAGCTGAAAGCAATTCCATTAAGATCTGGAACAAGACAAGGATGTCCACTCTCACCATTGCTTTTCAATATAATACTGGAAGTCCTAGCCAGGGCAATAAGACAAGAGAAAGACATCCAAGGAATCCAAATAGGAAAAGAAGAAGTCAAACTATCACTATTTGCAGACGATATGATATTATACATAGAAAACCCCAAAAACTCCACAGAAAAGCTAATTCAACTAATCAATCAGTTCAGTAAAGTGGCAGGATACAAAATCAACACGCAAAAGTCAGTAGCCTTCCTATACACAAACAATAAATCTGAAGAAGAAGAAATCAAAAAGACCATCCCTTTTGTTATTGAAACAAAAAAAATCAAATATTTGGGAATAAATCTAACAAAAGAGGTAAAGGACCTATACAAAGAAAACTATAAAACACTGTTAAAAGAAATAGAAGAAGACACAAAGAAATGGAGAGACATCCCCTGCTCATGGATTGGAAGAATAAACATTATTAAAATGGCCATCCTACCAAAAGCAATATACAGATTCAATGCTATTCCAATCAAAATTTCAATGTCATTCTTCAAAGAAATAGAACAATTATTGATGAAATTCATATGGAATCACCAAAAACCCCAAATAGCCAAAGCTCTCCTGAAAAAAAAAGAAGGGAATGGAGGCATCAGACTCCCAGACTTCAAACTATACTACAAAGCCATAATCATCAAAACTGCATGGTATTGGAACAAGAACAGACATACAGACCAATGGAATGGAATAGAAAATCCAGAAATAAACCCACAGATTTATGGTCAACTAATCTTTGACAAAGGAGCAAAGAATATGCATTGGAGCAAAGAAAGTTTGTTCAATAAATGGTGCTGGGAAAACTGGGTCGCTACATGCAAAAGAATGAAGCTTGACCACCACCTCACACCATACACAAAAATCAACTCAAAATGGATTAAAGAACTAGACATAAGACCTGAAACCATAAAATATGTAGAAGGAAATATAGGCGAAACACTACGTGATTTGCACATCAAAGACATCTTTACAGACACATCACCCAAAGCAGTGATAGTGAAGGCAAAGATAAACAGCTGGGACTACATCAAATTAAAGAGCTTTTGCACAGCAAAAGAGACAACAACAAAAACAAAGAGAAACCCCACCAACTGGGAGAACATTTTTGCACCCAACACTAATGATAAAGGACTGATCACAAAAATCTGCAAAGAGCTGATGAGACTCAACAACAACAAAGAAAATAATCCAGTCAAAAAATGGGCAGAAGAGCTTAAAAGAAACTTCTCTGAAGAGGAAATGCAAATGGCCAACAGGCATATGAAAAAATGTTCAACATCACTTGTCATCAGGGAAATGCAAATCAATACTACCATGAGATACCATCTTACACCAGTGAGAATGGCACATATTAAAAAAACTAGCAACAACAAATGTTGGCGAGGGTGTGGAGAAAAAGGAACTCTTCTGCACTGTTGGTGGGAGTGCAAACTGGTCCAACCACTGTGGAAAGCTGTATGGAGATTTCTGGACCTACTAAACATAGAGCTTCCATATGATCCAGCAATTCCACTCCTAGGTATTTACCCAAAGGACACAGAAACATCAATTCCAAAGAACACCTGCACCCCTATGTTTATAGCAGCACTGTTTACAATAGCTAAGCTTTGGAAACAACCCAAATGCCCAAAAATAGATGACTGGATCAAGAAGATGTGGTACATATATACCATGGAATATTACTCAGCATTCAAAAAAGATAAACACATGCAATTTGCAGCAACATGGATGGCGCTGGAAGGGATCATGCTCAGCGAAATAAGCCAAAAAGAAAAAGAAAAATACCGGATGGTCTCACTCATAGCAGGAATCTAGAAAACTTAAATAAGGGACCAGGAAAATGAATAACTATAAGAAAGTGAAAATCAAAATCAACAAAAAACTATGAACCAGAGACACTTTTAGGGGGGCGGGGGTGGGAGGGGAGGGATTGGGGTCAGAATGGGGGGGCTGCAATTGTATGGGGAATATAACAATAAAATTTATTAAAAAAAAAATAAATAAATAAATCTCTCACAATAAAGTTACTTTGCCTGCATTTGACGATGCAGAAAGCCATCCCGACCAGAGAAGCAGAGGACTTAAGACCAAGAAGGCCGTATAAACAAACTCAGCTTACTTTTTTAAGATTCTTATTGTTTTTTTTTACAGTTTATTATCTGTTTGGATAAAAGCTATAAAAACTGACAAATCTGGACATATTCATGTTCTCATATTCCTTTGTGTACACAAAATGAAATTTGTTTTTTCTCCTGTAAATTTGTCTTGTTCAAATTGATAAATTATTATACCAGCTTAAAGAACTTAGGAGGAAGAAAAGGATGTTCTCCCCTACAATACCTATTAGCAGGCAAATTAATAAACTGCAGTGTAGACACTCAATGAAGTATCACAGAGCACTATAAACCATCTAATTCCTGCTACACAAAAAAATAGATTGATACAGAAATATTTATAGTGAAAGGATATAAGTGTACAAACAAAATCAAAATAGATTTATATGAATTTCAAAAAAAGTCAAAATAGTCATGTCTTAGAAGTCCAAATACTGGTGAACTCTATGTTGTGAAGGGCTTAATAGGTTTGGATTGTGAATGCAAGCCATATGCATATATCATAATCTTTGACATGGCTATCCTCATGTATATCTGAAAATTACTGGATCTACATATTAATGTTAGCACAATTTAACATTGGTGTCCTATTCCTCCAAAAGAAAAATTATAATGAGGACAAACTTGTGAAGAGTAAATAATGGTATTTATCTTGCTAGATACTAAAGCTTCTGTTAATGATCAAAATGTTACAAGAAAAGTACATTAAATTAATGGAAATACAAGAGAGTACAGAAATAAATCTATGTATTGATTTTGTTAATTCTATAGTTTTTCATTTTTTTTTTCTGAATTGAATTTTTGTTTATTATTAGTAAATTACTTATGTGGCCTTCCAACTTACCTAGCTTACTATGTGCTGTTTATTTGCTTGTTCAAGGTACCACTAAGGTTTCTTTTTTTTAGTGACATACACATTTTACAGTAATGTGTATTTATATGTTATATATAACATGATGTGTAACATAAATATGCATTTCATTGCCAACATGGAATTTAAAACTTGCTGTTTGCCCTTTTTATCTTGAAAAAGACTTTTCACATTAGGTAGAAGCATATTAAGTGATTTACTGGTAATATTAAGCAAAGGTAAACCAAAGTCATGCTGACAATATCTTGTTCTATCCTTAACTGCAATGCATGCTACTTAACTGAAATCTAAATTTGCCAATATTCCAATACCATAACCACAATAATTACCCCAACAAATAAATCTTTCAGTAATTTGGAATTACTAATGTATATAATAGATTGCATCACTGTAGGGTAAATGGTTTTCAGGCTTTTCTGCCCTCCCATCATTAGGATTGCCCTGCCTGATGGTGTACCTGCAGTTGTTACATTGTTGTAAACTGTGTTGTTTACTTCTGTGGGCCATTGAGATATCCCTCAAGAGAAGCAGAAGTAGAAGGAAAAGGCAAGAGGCAGGAGAGAGAACACAGCCAAGAGTGAAGACTTGCCTGGGGCTTGGAGGCTTCCTGGCCTCCTGCCCACCCCCCAACACCCCTGCCTGCTGTGTACCTGGTTGCTGCACTGCATGTAAAAGCTCAATAAAAGCCTGAGAAAACCACTGAGGGCTCCAGAACTCTCCTTTACCTGTCTGCCAGCTCATAGATATCCTGCTCTGTGTCATCCTGCCTCTACACATATGTAGTTTCATAATAAAAGGTTTACATGTAAAATAGAATTTGATATACACTCATTATTTCAATGATTATTGCTCTCAAGAAAAAATAAAGTCGTCCATCACTAAATAGTTTTGAGCATTCGCTTTAGAAATCTAGATTAAAATTTCCTTTTTCTAAATAGTTATCCATGCATCATTATCTTCCTAGTGAAGATGCTATACTTCTTTCTTAATTCTAATATACTTGAATGATTCATTTACAATTGAATATGTATAAACTATCTCAAGTAAAAGTTTCAACTGTCCTATGAACCCAACCTCCAAAAAATATTCTAAACAGATATTGAATAAATATATTTCATTGTCTTAGAATTGACAGTTGTAATATTTTCAATTACCTTTGTAATTTCCTAAGCATATGTAAGCTAACTTGTCAGAAATTATAATTTTGATTGAATTGCAGAGTGAGAATTCATTTCATTTGTACATGAGACACTATTTAAAAAAAAAAAAAACAACAAAACAAAGCTGCTACTAGATGTTATACTTTTTAGGAAAGATGACTACATCAACCAGCAATGAAAATGTCTTCAGAGGATTTAACATGAACGTTGAGCTAACAAAAGCCAGTCAATCTAATATTTTGTCAGAAATATAAAGCTTATTCAATCTAACATACAAAAATAACAAGATTTTATTCTAAGAGAATCCTTTGAGCTTTTTGTTACTCCATTATACACTTTACAAAGTAAAATAAGAATATGATGAATGTAAAGATTTTTTTTGAGTCAGAAATACTCATTTCCTACTTACTTTCAGAAAATAGACTGCACTTATTTATCTTCGCAGTGTTTGATGATCAGGATGAGCTCTGTTGCAAATCATAAGGGAATAAGCTGTCAGAGTAAAGTGGGAGATAGGAAATAAATCTGTGTAAAGTCACCTTACAGAACTCTTGGGACATATCCATTCAGAAGTAATAAAGAAGTTTCATTCTTGAATATCAAAGTCAATAAACTGAACGATCCTCCTTACAGTTCTAAATATAAACACTAAAATAATAGATTTTTAAATATAGCATAAACTTGTGACAGAATTATCAATCAACATTTTAGAACACAGAAAAGGAAGAGTGCAAAAAGAAACAGAACAGAACAGAAAGAGAATGTAAAAACAGAACATGGAAAACAAGAAAAACCTTCAGTGATAAATACTTTTCTTCATGGAAAAGAGAGCAAAATGAAAGGACTAGAGTATCAGGAAGCATGCAAAATGATACCAGAATTAAAACAAATGCACTTCTTTTTGAATCATTTACGTATGGTTCATATATTGCCAAAAGATACACAACTGTACCAATGTAAAAGTTTGTTAAAAATTTATATAAATTGAAAATATAAATTAAAAATTAGGTAGAGTCCTATATATCAGTATAGTTGTGTAACAGTGCTTAAAATAGTGTAATTTCCAGATATCTCTAATTAGAGAATTCCTAAAATAACTAAGGTTTTTGTATTTCTAACTTTACTCACAAGTAGTAATTTCCTTTGAAGAAAATACTTTGCTTTAATTGGAATAATTACTTTTAACCTGGAACTAGTATCATATTTTAATGTTGTGCAAATATTGAATTCATTAACTATAGTTTCTGGGACTAGAACCCCTGGGTAGAATACTAGTTGTTCTTACTGGTTATTAATAGTCCATTTAATAAGTAATTCAAAATGCAGCATTTTTATTTGTTACTCATAAAAGGCACTTATGCATAGCCTTTTATGACTAAAAATATAAAAATAAACTATATTTTTGTAGAAAGATTAACAGTTATAATCTCTGGTACAAAATACTATTTAAAGCTACTTGGCAATACTTTAATGAAAATTTTAATGGTAAACGGAAAATATTAAGCAGGTAAAGTAAAAACTAGAAATACAATATTATTGAAGACATAGTCTAATTTTATAACTACTCATGTAGGAAACAAAAAGCTATTCACTTAAAGTTAATGTCTAAGCGTATCATTTTAAAAAGGCTATACAAAGCCTGAATACTTAAAAAAGATGACAATAAGACAACAGACAATATCTATCAAATGGAAATATTAAATGGCATAACTATATTAAAATAAATAAGTTAATGTATTTTCTTTTAATTTGGATCACAATGCTATGCCAATCTCTGACTTTGAAGATACTAATATAAATCAGATTAATGGGAGTAAGTTTAGGATTTAAAAAATACCCAAAAGACTAACAGATGTAAACAAGATGTAAACAAAGAAAACCGATGTGTTAACATAAAAGTAGCCACAATCTTTTCCCTCCTTCCTAGAGACACACTCTTCACATATCAACTATGAAGCTACTGCCATTTCAGTGGAATCCCTTCCCCTTTCTCTTGCATCCAAAACTGTCTTCAGATGCTTTTGAAACAACAGAATGCAGAAGTGATGTAATACCAGCCCCAACCTATTTAGAACACTAGGACTAGAGCTGTTAAGTTTTGTTTTTTTTCTTTAACACTTCTGCTCAGTGTTTAATAAACAAGCAAAGGTGGCCTCTTGAAAGATGAGAAATCAGAGGAAATTGTAATGACACCAGACTTCTGGATGAAGTCACCCAAAACAACTAAATTTGACAATTTCAAGCTAATTTGGTATTTGGGAATAGAAGCATAAATGAAGTCATCTGAGAATATTCTCAATTGACACCAGTTAAAACTGTCTGTACAAAATCTTGCAATAAGTATTGGCATATTGAATATACGAGAAAGGAAAACTGATAAAACAGACCATTATTTTTACAAAATAGGTATGCATAAGCCACAGATGAAACCAATAATGAAATTAAATGCTTCTAAAGACATTTACAGTATATTAGCAAATAACTTTCCTGATAAATTATTGACAAAATATATTATAACTTGTAACTCATGAGTAATAAATACAACAAAAACAAGATATAAATTTGTAATAAAATTAATTGGATGCTAATTATTGATTGATAATATATAAAAATTGATAAATATAAAAATCTACAACCTGAAAATTGACTTGCTGTTAGAGCACAATGTACATCTCAATAACTTTAAGAATAGTGCTTACCTTTTTGATGACTACTTAATTAGAAATTACTATATTGAAATGAAAGTAGAAAATACCATTTTGAAATAAGTTTCATCCACTAGGAACTTTAAAAAACAAAAATTATAGCCATTCTTCATTTAATAAGAAACAAAAACAAAATGCCACCTGATAGATACTTCATACGCAACATATATATATAGAGAAAATCTAAGCAAAGAACATTAGGGGAAAAAATTAGAGAAAATGTCTTTCCTCTAAAATTCTTCATTCAGTGGCTTTTATCAAGGTTAAATGAATGTAGGCTCTGGGTAGATGGGTGACAAAATTTGGAAGGAGACCTTTCTCTATACATATATTAACCATTATATACATACCATTCTAAGTTTAGATATTAAAAGCAATGCACTTAAATCTACTTCTGGAATATAAGGAGTTAGTAAAATTTCAATGGCATTCTTCAAAAAAATAGAACAAACATTACTTAAATTTACATGGAAACCACAAAAGATCCAAAGCCAAAGAAAGCCTAACAACAACAACAACAACCCCAAAGCATCATAATCCCAAATTTAAACTGTACCACAAAGCCACAGCAATCAAAGAGGATGGTGTTGGAACAAAAATGCAAAGACCAATAGAACAGAACTGTGCTACAAGAAATCCACACTTTGATGCACAGCTAATCTACAACAAAGGATTCAATGCTAAAATGTCAACAACCCAACCCACTCAATAAATGGGCATAAGGCTTATAAATACAGTTCTTCAAAGAAGACATACATCTGCCCAAAGGCACATGACAAAAAATTCATTACTTATTGGGAAAATGAAAATCAAAGTGACAATGAGATATCATCTCACACCTGTGAAAATGGCCCATATCAAAAGCACAAATTACTGTCTTGACCCAGTGGAAAACATTATGGAGGTTTATCAAAATATTAAAAATGTATCTAACAAATGATCCTAATCTTAGTTATCTACCTAAAGATGAAAAAACACCAATTAAAGAGATAGGTGCACAACTATGTTCGTTATAGCACTATATACACTAACCAAGTTGTGGAAACAACTAAGGATAGATGAGTGTATTAACATCACATACACACACACAGGAATACCATTTGGCTACTAAAAACCTATTTAAAAAAAGATGAAATCTTGCCATTTGCAAAATAAGTCATTAGGAGAAAGACAAACACTGGATGCTTTTACTCATATGTAGAATACAGAAACAAAGTAACAGTCAAAACTAAACCAAAGAATTCCTAGAAATCTGACTGCAGTATTAAGACTACCAGAAGGGATGTTGGTGTGGAAGGTAAAGAGGGAAGGTAAAGGTAAAGGGAGGTATAAAATATGTATAAGGAGGTATGAGCCTGTACCTTTGAACCAGAACCAGTATTTCAAACAGCATTATCAATATTTTTTAATAATAATGGCTGTGTTCGTATTGAACAAGTACAGACTTTTTAAAATCTTGTCATTATTCCCTGAACAAAAGAATTTAACATTTACATATGATCTACATTATATTAGGTATTATTAGTAATCCAGAAATTATTTAATGTATTTGAGGAAATATACATAGGATGTATGCAAATACATTACATATATTTTATAAAAGGGACTTAAACATCCATGGGTTTTGGTATCTCCAGAGATCATGGAAACTATTGTCTATGAATAACAGGGGATGGCTGTATGTATATATACAGTTATATAGTCAAATACATATATTATATATATTGTTTTAAATATGGGATTGTTGTAGTTTTTCCTATTGAAAAAAATCAAATTAAAGCAGTCTTACCAATTATAAATAATTCAATTTAATACTTTATCTTACTCAGTGACAAATCCTTTGGAGTTTTCTAAGGATAAGTCCTAGTTTATCAAAAGTAAACATAAACAAAGCTAGTACATCTGAGTATTATGCTATGAGTAATGATTAAAAGGAACAGTACTCAGAAATACATAGACTATATGAAAAAGATATAATTTTAAAAATAGAACTACTGGGCCTCCCTGGTGGGGCAAGAAGTTACAATGCAACCTATGAAGCTAACCATAGCCACTGCAGCACAAGTTCAATCCCCAGCCGGCCAGGGAGCTACCCACATGGCACAGCAGACCTCTCCTGACTTGCCCGCTGCTCTCCTCTGCAGTGTATTTCAGTCAATCTGCCTATTCTGTTCCCCACTCTGACTCTGGTGAATCCTCTCACCCCCGCCCCCGCACCTCTGGTCTGTACCCCAGCTCTTGTATGAAATAAATCTTGGGAAAAAAAAATAGAACTACTATATGATCTAGCAATTCCACAACTGGGTATTTATCTGAAAATAAAGAAAAACACTGATTTAAAAGAAATAAGAACCTCTGATTGTTGCAAAATAATTTAAAATAGCCAAGATTAAAAAAAAAAAAAACTGAATGTCTATAAATAGGTGAATGGAATAAGAAGATCTGATACAGAGAGACAGACAGACAGACAGACAGACACATACACACACACATACAGGGGGCCGGGTGGGGGAGGGAGATAGAGATGGGGGGTGGCTATACAGCCATATAGAAAATAATTAAATCTTGCCAGTTACAACAACATGGATGACTAAAGCCAGACAGTGAAAGGTAAATACTATATGGTTTACATCTAAAATAGTAAACAAGTAAATAAACAAATTCTGGTGGTTATCAGAGGGGAGAGTTAGGGGATAGGTGAAGGGAGTGATGAGGATCCAGATGTACCCCTTTCCAGTCATCAGCTGCAGGAATGCAATGTA